TCTTTTTAATGACCTTTTGCTTTCTTCATGTATGACATCCTTGATGTCATCCCACAACTCTTCTGGTCTTCAGTCTTTAGGGTTCAGTGCATCAAATCTATTCTTGAGATGGCCTCTAAATTCGGGTGGGATGTACTCAAGGTCGTATTTTGGTTTTCCTGGACTTGTTTTAATTTTCTTCAGCTTCAACTTGAACTTGCATATGAGCAACTGATGGTCTCTTCCGCAGTCAGCACCTGGCCTTGTTATGACTGATTATACTGAGCTTTTCTATTGTCTCTTTCCACAAAAGTAGTCAGTTTGATTCCTTGTTTTCCATCCAGTAAGGTCCACGTGTATACATTTATGTTATTGAAAAAGATACCTGCACTGAATAAGTGGTTGATCTTTCAAAATTCTATCATTCGCTCTCTGACATCGTTTCTATGACCAAGGTCATATTTTCCAACCACAGATCCTTCTTCTTTGTTTCCAACTTTTTCATTCCAATCACCAGTAATTATCAATGCATCTTAATTGAATGTTTGATCAATTTTAGGCTGCAGAAGTAGGTAAAAATCTTCAATTTCTTCATCTTTGGCATTAGTGGTTGGTGCATAAATTTGAATAATAGTCATATTAACTGGTCTTCCTTATAGGTGTATGGATATTATTGTATCACTAACAGGGTTGTACTTCAGGAGAGTTCTTGAAATGTTCCTTTTGACTATGAATGCGACACCGTTCCTCTTCAATTTGTCACTCCTGACATAGTAGACCATATGATTATTTGATTCAAAATGGCAAATACTAGTCCATTTCAGCTCACTAATGCTTAGGATATCGATCTTTACGAGTTCCATTTCATTTTTGACTACTTCTAATTTTCCTAGGTTCATACTGCCTACATTCCATGTTCCGATTATTCATTGATGTTTGCAGCTGTTTCTTCTCATTTTGAGTTGTGCCACATCAGCAAATGAAGCCCTGAAAGCGTTACTCCATCCACGTCATTAAGGTCAACTTTACTTTGAGGTGGCAGCTCCTCCCTGGTCATATTTTGAGTGCCTTCCAACATGAGGGCCTCATCTTCCGGCACTAAATCAGACAATGTTCAGTTGCTATTCGTGAGGTTTTCACTGGCCAGTTTTTTTGGAAGTAGACCCCAGGGTTCTTCTTCCTAGTCTTAGTCTGAAGCTCCACTGAAACCTGTCCATCATAGGTGACCCTGCTGGTGTTTGAAATACTGGTAGTATAGCTTTCAGTATCACAGTAACACACAAGCCACCACAGTACGACAAACTGACAGATGCGTGGGGTTAGGAGAAAGTCATTGATACATTTTCTCTCCCAAAGCACTAGGGTACTTTTTAAGTACTTTTTTTTTTTTTTTTAATACCAAGGGTGTTCTTGCCTTGAGCATTACAAATACAGAATGTTTTACACATGATGAAGGTGAACTTTTTTGATATAATCACAGTAATTCACTGTCCCAGC